GCCTGAAAAAAAATCAGGGCTTCAACGGGATTCGAACCCGTGACCTCCGCGATACCGGTGCGTTGCTCTACCAATTGAGCTATGAAGCCACACATTGGGAGCGAGGTCAAGCTTGTTCGCTTGACCAAGCTTGTTCGGTCAAGATGGCGAGCATAAACTCGCAAAAAAAAACTTGACCAATATCCAGCCATCTCACACTTGGTCAATTACAAATCGTATCAAACGACTTCCGACGAAACAAAAGAAATGGATGACCTGGCACCAGCATCGCAGAACTTTCCTAACGATTGATATCATAATAGACCCCAAGGCGTTTTGAGCGCGCGTCATGGCATAAAACTATGTATTTTATCAATTTCATATATACCGTGACAGAACTGTTAGGAGTGAAACAATGAAATGTTGACAGATGTAATTGGCCGGAATGTGAGTTTGGGTAGTCTCCTCCGCAGCCGTTTTTTGGGATGACACGCAACGCTCCCCCAAAGAAACTTCTGCTTACATCCGAACAACATTCTTTTCCTTTTGTGTTTGTGGTGTTTTGTGGTTTGTTTGCGCTCTGTTGAACAGACCAATTACATAATAGCAAAGTGTGAATGACGTAAACTTTCGTGCGAAAAGGCCTGGGGTGCGAACTCGCAAGGGATTTCTGGCTTTTGTTTCACGCCGCACGTCACCAAAAATAGGCGGTGTTCGCAGGCTACCATAATGAAGGACGAAAAAAAAGAAGGTAAATCAAAGCCCTAAGTACAAGTGCTTCATGTGCTCATCGGTCGTTGCGTCACATCCCAAAAAATGGCTGCGGAGGAGACTAGAGATTGGGTTGCCTGAGCTAGAAGATGTGGATCAGTTAATTGACAATTTTTCTGATGTTGCAAACGCCAGTGTCGCAAAATAAAAGATGAAAATGTCATATAATTACAACCAATACAAAAACACGGTCTGCAACACCATTCACATACCGTCCCTTATAACCTCATGCACGCCCTTAACACTGTGATCAAAACACAAAAACACAATTGTAAGACACTATGAATGATAGACTTAAGCCTCTAAGATAATTCTTTACAAACGTCAACATCATTCAAATATATTTGTTTATCTTATAAACGATCCGAAGGAGGCTACGGTTGACCACCTCGAGATAACAAAGGCTTATATTTCAACGACTGACAACAGGAAATTCAGGAATCTACATGTAGTTAGCTTATTGTTTCGTTTGGTTATTATGTCTCAGCACAAACCAGTTGGCAACCTTGGTTGACATCGAGAAATACTGTGAATTTCCAGAGTTACGCAAGGTCATCAATAAAGGTAAGGCAGATCTTATATCAGAAAATCAAGAGCAAATCAGGAATGAGACTAAAATTTTCTGAGCATTATCACTTTTAATATAAAGCTAGTACAAAGTTTAAGATTCCGGTCGGTTCAACCTCAATATATTGGTCACCAGCCTTCGAACAGTGAGCAATAAAATGTAAATAATGTCCAACTATATTTCGTAAGTTTCTTTAGAAGTTCTAATATTAAAAGTATCGTGACTAAAGTCGAAACATTCACGGCGCGCTCAGACGAGTTTATCAGAGGCCGTGTTTTCACGACCAGTTTTTCAGGTCGCTTAGCGAGTTACAACTGGAGATCCCGTGAAAACAGTTACTTTTCCAACTCGCTTAAAGTTAAGCGAGTCGGCAAACTTCAGTGAAATTCTCTTAAGCCACCAAACCAGGTAGCTTTAGCGAGTTGGTAACAAGGTTCGGCCAATGACGAGTCGATTTCGGTTATTCATTTGACAAGGCTGTCAAATCTGAAATACAACAGCTACTCGATCCTCCACTGAAATCGCGCGCGTGTCTCGTCGAACCCAACCAAACTGGAACGTTTCACTTGAGATATGAAAATGTTTGAGCCAAATGTTATCAGCGTGAACCATGTTCTCAAAGCAGGGTTAGGGTTAGGGTTAGGGTTAGGGTTGCCTTTCAAGCATTCGTGCGATTTTCCTTCTGCGGCAATTTTTTCGCTGCGAATAATGAAAATACGCCTCCGTTAAAGGCTGGTTTTCACTAGAGCATAAGCACAAGTGAAAACAGCTACGACATAAACATAAGCATAAGCAGAAACATAAGAAGAACGAACCCACTTATTTGTCTTGTGCAGTTTTCACTAGTAACGCGCTCGACATANATAGCACTATGCTTGCAAAACAATGCAAAAGAAACAAGATACTTCTGAATTCATATTGTTTGTAATATTTATTGTCGTAAACATTATCTACTATTTTTTAAAGAATATTATCAGTTGTAACACCCATCTTTTTTTGCACTACTTTTGTAATTTGTTGCAATGTTGTAATATGTTTGTATCAATAAAATAAATTATTTAAATTAAAAAAAATCAGCCATTAGTAGAATTCTACTAGTATACTAATGCAAACGCTGCAATCTGATTGGTTGCGTGACCGTACACTATCAGCGATTAGTAGAACTCTTCTGGTATACTAATGCAAATGCTGCAATCTAATTGGCTGAGCTACTCGTATACTATCAGTCATTGGTGTGCAGTGGCTGGAGGTGGTCTGCGAAATCGCGACGTTTTCTTGTTTTCGCGAAGGTACGGAACAACATTTAGATACAAATGGATAACTAAATCCTTGAGAAAACTAAAAGAAGGACATTCACGGTTTCATTTCTTAAAAACTAGAAAAAAAATTGAAAAAACTGAAGAGCGCGCGTACACAACAGGAAACTCCAGACGACAATTCAGTCCGCGCGATTTTTCTTAAGCGTAAAGTTAAATACAATGTACTTAAACAATTGGAAATGGTTAGCTGAAGAAAATCTTAGTAAGAATTCTACTGAAACAATTAGGTTATTCGCTCTCGATTTCTCTGAGGGGATAGGCGATTCGTCCTTCGGCCTCACCTGCTATCACTGTATAGAAATCTCGAGCTCGTTATCTAGTTGGTAAATATTGTTAAGTGTAATTATTTTAATAGCTATATTTTGGTGAGTGGATGGTTTGAGTACACGGAGAGGAAAAATCGTTTGAAATTTCGATAGTGAAATAATTATACCTCTATTAAAAGCAAATAACGGAGTAAATGTCTAAGCGAAATTGATGGGCGTCAGGTTTTGATCCTGTTTGGGGAGTTGAAATGCGTAGACCTAAAGGCTGGTTTTCACTAGAGCATAAGCACAAGCGCGAGCATAAGTATAAGCACAAGTGAAAACAGCCGCGACATAAACATAACCATAAGCAGAAACATAAGAAGAACGAACCCACTTATTTGTCTTGTGCAGTTTTCACTAGTAACGCGCTCGACATAAGCATAAGCATAAGCACAAGAAAAACAGAACTTTTCGTTCTTCTTGTGCCAATGCTTATGCTTATGTCGAGAGCGCTACTAATGAAAACTGCACGAGACAAATAAGTGAGTTTGTTCTTCTTATGTTTCTGGTTATGCTTATGTTTATGTCGCGGCTGTTTTCGCTTGTGCTTATGCTTATGCTTGTGCTTTTTATTGATATGCTCTAGTGAAAACCAGCCTTAAAGATTACAGACTGAAAAGAGCGGTCTGAGTTCTACCGCTTACCGAGCTTACTGTGTAGTACATTTTCACAAGACAATTGACTCTCACAGTTTCTATCTCCAAACAGAGGTACAGATGGGTACCAACGAACTATTAAGGAAAGTTAACCAAATTCTGGGTGCTAACTCTGCGATGAACTAGCATCCCATCCAGGGGGTAGTAGTAATATCCTTAGCCGATTCATGCCACAAAAACTGTAGTTAATAGTTCTAGTATGGATGAATTGTCTCTCTTCTCTGATGCCTCGGAATGGAGATGACTTAAACCTGTTTAACTCTTGCTTTAGTTGACAGGAATGTACGGAATGGTTGATGAGCATTACCACACAGTGCTGTTAGTATTTCAAAGAATCACCACATCGACATTGCAGCTTTTACAGAATAGTAAGTATACATGGGTACCTTGCTCTTAGCTTCTTAGCAGAAATTCGATTGTCCCGTACGTAACGTAATCTTTCGTCGATGACATTGTGTGACAAATCGACTGCCCACTGTTAAAAATTTCGGATGACCTCTGCAGAAAAAGTAGTAATGCGGCCTCAAGAGTTTGGAATAATCGAATATCTTTTTTTTACCTTTGAAAGATTGTCATTTTGCTTTAGGAACACTTCAGTATCATGTTTTATGCTTCAGGACTTGTGTGAAACATAAAGTAGTTTTGAACACCGATAGCACACCTCCGGTCATATTAAACTCCCTTGTTATATCTCCGGATTATAAACCCCCTGAGGATCTCCTACCAAGATCTGAAACCCAAGGACTCTATACGAGATGTGCGGCATTTCAAACCAGTTCCTTTGCTGATCAGATACTCGTCCTTTACTAATTTGTGTTTATTTTATTTTTGTCCAACAGACTTGCGCGATTATCCAGACATTCTTCAGTCGTTCATGCAGTTTGTTAGTAGGGTAAGCGTCAAGAAACTAAAATGTAAACACAACTACAATAGGCTTTCTGGTTAGTGCCTAACACTAGGGGACTGACACGTACACACGCACGCACGCACCCAATGACGCTATCACGCGTGTAAAGCTTTCACGCTCGAGGAATCACCCGCGGGAACTTCCACTTAAGGTGGCCGAACACAGTTTTCACGCGCGCTTTTGCTGATGCAATTCAGCGCGCGCGCAAGGATTGCCAAAACCAAACATGCCGTCAATACAGCGATCATTTTATTTACTTAACACCCGCACTATCTGCGTTATTTTTCTCTATAATTGATGAACCCAGTGTATTGATGGCTTTAGTCTTTTATTACAAATATTTGTTAGAAAAGGTAACGATGCAAAGAACCCAGCAATTCTCAGATTAACGTATCCTTCTAGCTCTCCCCACTACTCCCGCCAGCTTGATTTTGAACAGTTCTTGCCATTAAATATTTCTCAGAAGATTTGGAAGAAGAGTAGAGATCGGGATGGCCGCTTCTCTGGCTCTCATTCTTGGTGCTAAATTTTCTTTGAATCGAGANTTATCCAGACATTCTTCAGTCGTTCATGCAGTTTGTTAGTAGGGTAAGCGTCAAGAAACTAAAATGTAAATACGACTACAATAGGCTTTCTGGTTAGTGCCTAACTCTAGAGGAACCTTGGGACTGACACGTACACACGCACGCACGCACCCAATGACGTTATCACGCGTGTAAAGCTTTCATGCTCGAGGAATCACTCGCGGGAACCTCCACTTTAGCTCGCTTAACTTATCCTTCCAGCTCTCCCCCACTACTCCCGCCACCTTGATTTTGAACAGTTCTTGCCATTAAATATTTCTCAGAAGATTTGGAAGAAGAGTAGAGATCGGGATGGCCGCTTCTCTGGCTCTCATTCTTGGTGCTAAATTTTCTTTGAATCGAGAAAAGCCTCCAAACAATAGTTTCCTGAGATTGCTTTTTTTGCGGAGTCATTTTAGTAACAGCAACATTTGTTTTACAGGGCCTAAAAAGTAACCCTAAACTGTTATTTGATGGAGAAAGCCATCACGTCAGCATATTTCAATGCGGTAAGGAACTATCAGAGAACATTTCTAGTCACCACCACAACCTACTCTGTGAACTGCATTTGTTGTTTTCTCGTGTTGAATAAATGCTGACTAATCGGTCAGTCAAAAGCGTTGAATTTTTCCCGCGCTTGAGATTTGTCATATTTTCCCGCGCTTGGCACTCGTTGTGTGTTTTCCCGCGCCCGTTGAGTGTGTTCCAGCGCTTGGCATTTGTTACATGTATTTGTTCCACACCTGGCACTTGTGTTCTTTTGCTTATTTGCACACGCTTGACTTTCTGTGAAAAGCCCAAATAACTCTTTCCTGCCTTGAGAAATACTGCTTTTTCCTTAATATTCTCTCTAATTTGGTGTGGGAGCGAGGATAGGGAGGGAATAAATCAAATTCATACTGCTTATTTTTGTTCGTTTTTCTTATAGTTGATTGTTTGATGGGTGGTTAAACTAATTGACTTGTTTTGGCAGGTCTAGCAGTCCTTGACGTACAAGAAAGTCACACTGTTAGAGCTGCCTGCACTTTCTTTGTAAGTAACGTAGCAGAAAAAGAAACAGCGAGGGTTAAACGTTACAACTGTTTATTATTTGAACATTTAAAGTTCCTTTATTCCATCCCTCCCAAAAGTCACCAAATGGCCATCAAATGTCCGTGAAAAGAGCGAACGAACGAATGAACGAGCGGACGGACGGACGGACAAACGAGCGAACGAAAAAGCAAAGAAACAAGCAAACAACTGTATTTATTTTTTTTTTCACCTTTTTTACGTAAATAAATACATTCGTAAATGTAACTTTTTGTACATGAAAAACGTCCGTGAAATAGCACAAGCTTGCGGCAAAGTAGAAAGCTACATCTATTTTTTAAACTCAATAGTTGTGAAAATAAAGACCCAAAATATTCACCAGCAATTGAAATGGCAAACTACAACTTTTTTTTCCAGTCCACGTTCATTACTGCTTGTGACAGCCAAGAAGCAGCGAAGAATACCTTGTCAGAGTATGGTCCTTACCTTGTTAGTCAAGTTGTCAAGGTAAGTAGATTCCAATGATTGTTGTTGCTTTGCCAGAAAGTAAATGGTTGCCGAAGATAATTCGGGGTCTTCAGAAGATCATCAGAAACGACCCGATGACTATCAGAGATTTCCGAAGTTGACCCGAAGAAATCCGAGTATGATCTGTACACCGAAAATCACCCGAAGTATTTGTTTTGGTATTGAGGTAGTCGAGATCCATAATCTGTTCTCAGTAATTTTTTTCCCATTTTCTCTCATTTCTTTTTTTGATCACATTCTTTATGTTTTTGTTCAGGGAATAGCCGGTGGAGTACCTCGTCAATGTACAGATTACATGGCGGAGATTCTGTTCGCGTTAAACAGACACAACGTGACGCTATTGTCACGCTGGATGCAGGTACGCGTACGAGTGGAAAGACTTGGGCTCGTCACGCAAACGTTTCTCCTCTGGGTGCGTGACGGGAAATAATGGCCAAGTGTAGAAAGGCCTGGGTCTGACTGGGGTCATTGTGTTGTGTTGTTGGGCAAGACACTTCACCCTCACAGTGCCCCTCTCCACCCAGGTGTTAAAATGGGTACTAGCCAAATGTCTGGCCAAGCTAACGAAATGCTGGGGGTGGGGGAGAGTAGCCTGTGACGGATTTACAGGGGGAGTAGCTAGTAGCTTTTTGTGTAATAATATCATCCTCTTACAAGCGTGTTTCTGTTGACAGGACGTCATGCAAGTAGAAGGGTTTCCATCCAGCCTTGTCACCTTATCTCATAAACAACAATTCACCAGTGCTGTGCTTAGGTGAGAGTAAAACTGATGTATGAAATTATTGTTTTGTATGAAGTTCCTTTTTTTGCATTTAACCAGAAAACCGTGAAATTCTACGAATATCCCATAAGCAGAGACCTCCCTTAGGGCCAGGGTTGTCCATTAGCAAAACTTTTAAATAAAAAACCGACCCCCATTTATGATATGTTTTTCTAGTAATGAAATTGTTCACAAGTATGTTTTATAAATTGCATTAACAAAGGAGAAGGAACTGATAGATTTTGGTAGAAATGGGTTAAATAAATGAGAAAACGAAAAGATAAGAGTTTCGAAAAGGATCTTAAAGTCTTCCTTTGAAGTGGCTTATTTGCTAGAGATGTTGCACATTACTTACAAAAAATTTAGTAAACGTCCGAAATTTTTTGCAAGTAAGGAATTACTAGTAAGAGCGTGGTTTAAGGAGATGAAATCATTGACAATGATGTTTCATTGAACAGGGCGAGGGCTCATCGCAGACGAGTCAAAGACTCCGTGAAAGAGTTTTCCTTGCAGTGTCGAGGACTTTACGGAACGGTTTATGCCAGTTAACCAGTGGGCCACGTGTGAGCATGCTCAGAAAACTGTTCAAAACACCTTTGCTGCGTGCGGGCTCAAAGAAATAATGTTGAGTGCGCATGACCGAGATGGCATTCTTTCTCTTATACTGAGGATTTAATAAGGCAAGGAGCGGTGCTCCGTGCGATGAACAGTAGGCGAATGTAGAATTGTATTTATTGAATTGTTACATTGTAGTAGTGTTCCAGGCCACGCTTAAGGTCACACCTAGGTAATGTTCTAATCAAATTAGTGTCACACCATGTTAACGTGCTGGATCACGCCAGTGTCACGTCATGTGAAGCCAAACAAGTGTTACGCTAGTGTCACGCCTTATCAAAGAGGTTAGGCCAGGCTTGTTTTGGTGATTCTTGTCTGCTTTTTTAATTACGATTTTCTAATTTAAGATTAATGCAACAGTAAAATATTTGCTAAATCACGAAATTTAAACTACATAACAAGGAACTTCGTATAATTATGCACAGCGTTTTCTTACATGTAAACTTAATTTAAATCAGTCGGCAAAACCTAGAAATGAGTTTGCGAACCTTTTTAGTTTTTGATTGCAATATAACCCTAATACTAATACTAAACGATGGTTTAGCCTTTTTTTGTCCAGTCGAGAATAATTACAATAGGAAAAGTGTTTCTTTCGTCTTCTGAAGCTTGTCACATGAAGCTCGGTCTCTCTTGGATAGGCTGCTGTCCTGTTATTTACCCAGTTTTGGTAAAACCGGGAAATTTAACCCCGCGAGAGCGAGCCTGAGACTGGAGCGAGAGGCTCTTTGTCTCGCCCCAATCTTTACCCGTCCCAAACCCTCTCCCCATGCCTCAAGATAATTTCGAGAGGGACTGGAACCGCCCATCCTGTTACTAGCATACCGTGACAGTTTGAATAATCCATTTAACTATTTACTTCAGTATCAAGACGGAAAGGTCATTTTTCAAAGTTTGCGAATGATGTGTATTCATTACGAATACTCTATAACTTATGCTACCTGCGTTTTGTATTGTTTTTAAATTGATTGTAGAATTTGTAATATGTGTGACAGCGTGACCTTGATAAGAACAAGATTGTAAGTTAAGAGAGAGTGTTATTTAAGATAAAATAAAATAAATATGGACACCTAGAGAAATACGCTGGCAGTTTCTTTACTCCGTATTTTTAGTGTCGTAATTGTCCAAAACATAAGGGGGCATGATTCCATAGGGTTGTGCATATATATAATGAATCTTCAGTGGTGCTGTCCCTTTGAACACAATTATTTACTTTTTTTTCAATTATGATGCTAGCCCTATTCTGGTCCTCTCTCTGCCACACAGCGCTACGACTTCGGGAGGGTAGCGTTGCGTGACAGAGAGGAGGCCAGCACTGGACTATTATGATGCAAGCAATGAAACAGATTTAACGCAATTAACCAAACACTGATACAATATCGCTACAAAATTCAAACCTTGCAACTCTTCCAGTTGTTTTCCATTGAGGCGTTATTTTAATCTTAAAAGTTGTTTTTTGCGTCGTTTGTGCGCATATTTTACAGCTCTGACCACTCCTAGTCCACTTTCAAGCGAATCTACTTTTAAATTTGAAAGAGGACTGTTAACCGTAATGGCGCATGATAGCTATGCATGTACAATTTAAAAAGAAGAAAAAAAACTCACTTCGCTAAAAAAAATCAGCAGCGTTACTCAACTAGAGAACGTTACTGCTCCCCAGTCTCCTAAACTTCAGCAACTCTAGAATCTCATCACCAGGTTATATCCAGGATGACGGAGACTGAAAGAGCCTGGTTACGAATTCTTCGTCTATCCGTTGCTTTGAAATATATACCTGCACGCATGGGTGCTTTCCACTCTACTCGAAAAGACTCCGTTTTGAATTTATCGGAAATTCCCGGTGACGAATTCGAGAAAATCTTCTCGCCGGGAACTTTCTTTCTATTTGATTTCCTTTCCGGAAGTTTCGGTTAAATGAGTCGCTTTTCGGAAATTTTACAATTTTCGGATTTTGGGAAAACGTTTTAATTAAGGAAATTTTCCTACCATTTACTGACGTTTCGAGAGCCCTAAAATTCTTGGTTGAATGGAAAGTACCCTTGTAGTAGTCATCATTTTCGAACTAATATATCAAACAAGACTACATTTCCGAGAAGCGGAGTATTTTTCGACTAACTTGAAGGTGTTTGGAATTGTAGTCAAACACGGTCTTTCGTGTCTGATATATCTTTTCAATCGAAACTAAAACTAAGGAGAAAATAGAGAGACAAAATCGTAAAAATCTGCTAATTAATTAAGATCAGTTATCTTACGGTAGTGATTTCCTTTGTTTCTACTTAAGGAATTATTAATGAGTTTGAGAGGTTCTATTCAAAAGAACTTTTTCTGTGAGGTCCGAGCGAGTTTCTTTCGTTGTTGTAATGTTGGACTTTCGATTGAGTCGTCCAAAGTCAACTTCTTACTATTGGCAACTAGCTGAGCCACCAGCGAGTTCGGCGAGAAGGACCTGGGTCCGATGCCGTTTTTCATATCGTGCCTGCTTTCGGTCCAGCTCTCCTCGGTCCTAAAACTATCAATGTGAATTTTGTCTTGACCAGCAACCTTCTGTGGTGAACCGCTCACCGCTTGGTGCGCCCGTGAACTGGGAATAGGTGGTAACTCAAACACTTCATCGACGACTTTTGATTCAAAATTACATTTGCGTTGTTCATGTAACTCTTCAGGGCCTGTGTTCTCCGTCTTCGAGAATTCCTCGCGTGTATTTCTGTTAAGCTTCCCCGTGTTTATTCTTGACTCTGTCTGTTCAGGGTCTGATACGTCAACGAAGTTGCTGTTGTAGTCAGGACGTCCATGATGTTCTGGGATAGAGGGCCATTGAAAAGAAGACAGCATTTGTGCTGGAGCTGAGTACGGTGTTCTGGGTGAAGGGGACATCCAGGAGGGGGACATCCGGGAGGAGGTCATCCGAGAGGTGGATATGCTGCTAGGCGACAATACTGGCAAAGGAGCTGAGTTGGCGCGACAAAACGGAATTTTATTTACCTGTTGGGCAGTAACCAGTGACACGTTGTCGATTGAGATCAATTCTTTAGGACGTCTCCGGGTATGTTTTGCTTTGGCCATGCGAGATTCGTTTTCTTGGAAAAGTTTGTCGGCGCCCGAGGAAGGTGGGGTTTGCTGTTTTCCTCCAGTTGAATTTGGTCCGATAGCAGGCAGACCCTGTTTTCCCGTCGCTTTTGGCTTGGCTCCTTGTAAGCGGTAAATCTTCTCGTCTATGAGAACCCATTCGTTGTCTTTCGACATGCCGTATCGTTTGTGGTGTTTTTCCTAACTAGGAACGATCTCAAAGCATAATGACCCAGAGCACATCATTTGCTTATAAACCAAACACAGTGAAGTTCATCAAAGCATTCGTACGTCAATGAAAATTATCCTTTGGCTTCTTACTAATTACATTAGAAAATTAATCATCTCAAAAGCATTGCCGATAGCCAATCCCTCTTGCGTTCTTTTGATAGATGACGTCAAGAAGCCATTATAGTGCGTGTGGTAATAATAAAGACCAAACACATTTTGTTTTCTCATTGGCTCGTAGCCAATCACGGACTTCCAGAATGTTTCCTTCCGGCCAGTTTCGCAATAGTCAAGATGAGTTGCAACGTCACATCATAATTAGCATTAATTAATCCCTTTCGGTTTTAATTGATTCATTTTCGCCATCGACAAGATTGAACGACAAGTGACGTTAATTCTTAATTAGCGTGTCCTTGGCGGCTAGTTTCGCAATAGTCTAAGTCAGGAACGACGCCACATAATTAACATCTATTTACTTTCTTCCTTAATTCCCTTTTTCCTTGGTGGCTAAAAGTCTAGATCAGACATGTAAGAGCAGTTTGTAGAATGGGAAATATCGATTCAAAGAGCTACCCCAAGGCGACCTATTTTGTACTTCTTGTCAGTAAGTCAAGCTCCCGAAAGTAGTAGAACATCGACCGCGCCGCGTACGCAGGGTCATGGGTTCCACCACATCTGAGAGCTTGCGTCACTGACTGAATGACGTCAGTGCCATTCTGTTTCTAAGAATCTTGAAGTTTATCATAATTTGTGTTTACTTAAAGATATTTTTTGTTCACTACTGTTTTTTTCCAAGCATAGTCCTAAAATGATGCTGGTTCCTGGCATGTTGAATCTAACGCGATCTGATCCCCTTAATTCTTTCGAGATTTGCTTCACACAACAAAAGCACCATCTTGTCTGGGCTAAATCTAAGCTGAACATGGAATGAGATTACTAAGGATGGCGCTTTTGCTCTCAAAAAGGATTAGAGGAAAGAAGGATGTTTCTGTCTTCCACCACACCCTGAAAACCTCTCCATTAATTAAGATTATGAAGTGTTCGGTACGCGGAAGTGTAGTTGATGTTTTTCGCTACCAGATGATCACTGCCTGGCGAGCTGATTCTTGTTAACCCGGGTGTTCGACGCGCTTTCGTGCGGCTTTTGAATGCGAATTAATATGGCTACAGTATTTTTTGAAAATACCATTTTGAGGAAGTCGACAAACCGGCTATGAAAGAACGCGAAATGAAGAGGAAGATTATAGCAGGCAAAGTATTTTTTTCGAGTTGTCGAATGCGAGGAATTGTTGAAATAGATTAAGCTCGGAAAGGTTATGTTAATTTTGGCCTCGTGAAGAAAGCCATTGTTGCAAATAGGAACCACAGTATATGATCGACGGTGTGAGCTTTGAAGCTGTAGCTTCTGTTGACTGCAGTCCATTTTAGTGACAAAATACCATTTTTGTAGCAAAATTTAATTGGAGCCGAAAAATTTGTTGGGGGACTTAAACCTCCCCTACTA